TTCTCGTTATGCTCTTCCTTTAAGTCACCTCTCTAACTGGCTTATCCAACTCTTTTTTCTTATATCCACTAGCTGCTAGTATGGCTACCACTTGTCCAACCCCAATATTTGCCCTAACCATGAGTGTTTTCAGTTCCTATTTTCGAAGTTGGGGCGGAAGTGGTGTAGTGACAAGTGGCGCGCTTACCACGCGAGCGGTCCGGGGATCAAATCCTGGGTCGTGAGTCGCCCGGGCCAACCAAGCCTTCCATCCCTCCGGGGTCGGTTAATTGGTACCAGACTTGTCTGGGAGGATAAAAACACTGACTTGTACATCGGCCCCGCAAGTCATTGTATAGGCCACATCGCATTCAAACGCCACTACGAATGTACAAATGGAAGTAGAATGCGTGCCGCATCCCAAAAAGGGATTGATCAACGGCAACCTTTATGCTTTATTTTTTTGACTCTTGGGCCTCATGAATCAGAGATGCACCCGAGTTTGACCTAGAATGTAGGTTGTGAAACCCAGATCAGGCGCAGTATGCTGCAGTTCCCTTGAGGTGGAGAAAGCGAATCCCTTTCAAATGAATTTGTTAGCTCACCTAAGGCTGCCCAAAAACGACAATTATTCAAAACATGCTCGTAGAAGTTATTTCATAATTGAGTGAATTCTTGCCGCCTCCGCGAGAAGAAGGATGGGATTCTGATTGGCCGCTAATGACTACACCAGCTGCGTTAGCGTCTAATGCATTGATTTGTATAGTTCACATTTCACGAATTTGCCTTGATCGAAGGCGGTTCTGACTAAATGATACAACGATAAGATCCCACAGCAACCTCGTCCCATTTCCAGGTCAACGAGCACTTAGCAAATTCGTACAGCGATCATTGCGAGCTGACGGCGTATTCATCCTTCACCTCATCTCGAAAAACGCCGGTGACATCATAACAACCGATATTATCGCCACATTGTGGGGGAAATTCCTCGAAGATGAGGCCAAGGTGAGATCTTAATGTCTTCCTTTGCTGCACTTGAAAAAAATTGTTTAGCTACCGATTTTCGAAGCGATGCCCTTACTGATGGGATTGATAGGATAAGCATGCCGTGACCACTGACGTAAAACAAGATCACCTCCTAATAACCTGACGGCAGACAGTTGTTATGGCGTTGTATGTCACGGCGATGTAATAGGTGCATCTCCAAAGGAAGTGCCCTAGAAACTGATGAGGAAAAAACGAAGTTGCTTAGCTGTAGAGAGAAAAATCAGAAGGATGGTGCGGAAACAGCATTGCCAAAACTATATATGATGATGGCTGATATCACGCCAATAACGAGCTCCAAATATATCGCCGGTGACATACAACTACATGTAACTTGTCTGCCGTAAAACTAGCTCGTAAAGCGTTACAGTACCAACCGCAACCTATGATATGGCGAAAAACTAAATGCAAGTGGAGATTTTCTTTCTTGATAGTTTGTTATTAAGGAAAACGAGAATGCTGAAGCACCATCACTTGAGGATGTTGATGGGTTCAAGGAGCGACTCGAAAAGCAGCCACTTAACTAGTCAGATTGATGATCGCTAGACAGATCAGTTCTTATAGGACGCAGTTCATTACCGATAGTACTGCCTCAGATTCATCACGTTCGCGTGTATTTTGTGTCTATTGATCGCCAATTCTCGTTTTTTCTGCCTCTCAGTAACAAGCTTTCATATGTGCCGCGCAAGGTCAGCCAGCCGATTTGCCTTACTACTTCTAGCTGATTTGTTCAGTTTATGTGTAGATGATTAGAGAATTTATCAGTGCCGAATCACTTTGTATACCAGTGTTGAGATTGTGATCATTCAGCTTCCGTGCATACAAAATCTTATTGTAGTTTACAGAAAAAATCAATTATCAAGCATTGTATTTTACCTTGAGCTTATCATCATTCCATCGTGGTTGAGTGAACGACGCACAAGCACGACTCATCCGTTCATCTTCTCTTATTGCCAGATTGTATCACATGTTTATTTTGTTGATTTGATTTGTCACATGTAATAATAAATTGCCGTCGTGAGCAAATCCTACCCTCATAGAGCCATATTTTTTCACTTGAGAAAAAAGAATGATAACGGATACACGAACAACAACTAAACAAAAGTGTATACAAGGGGGGTGGGGAGTGGGGTGGAGCAAAATAAATCTACTCTCACTCCACATTCAAAACTATTTAATGCTTGCCTGCAAACAAAACCAAATGCATTAACTGTGAATGTAGGAAGTATTCCGCCAGTTTGAAGCATTCATCAGCAAACAGCATCCTACTGCGTACGCAAAAATTGATATGTCCGTCCATGCATATGCGTATTTTTTGCTCCCCCCCGTACACTCTAAACTGAGTCATGTGATTGCTGAATGCAGACTGCCGCATTGAGGATCTCGTTATTGTCCGTTAACTTGTCAGAACTGCGTGCTGCCGATTTTCGTCGCACCTCAAAAATGACGCCTCGGAAATCGCCTACACTCCGGATGAAGAGGAAATACCAACTTATTTGTACCATATTCCAAAATATTTTTTCACAGATGAGCAAAAATCTAGTCCTAGATATTGAGGAATAGTGCCTTGAAAGGAAACAAAAGAGAAATTATCTACAAAGCAAATGTATGTCACGCGTATTTCACGACCGCATATACATAAATGATACTGGCAAATTGATGAAGTAGCTGAGATCGAATGTGCTTTCAAAAAGTGATAAATGCTTTTCAAAAGATGTGGTACAATAATAACGATTTTTGGTGATGGGCTAAATGTGGTCATTTCGTAATGTCCTAGACTCTATTTGCAAGAGTACCAATTACATAGCAGTGACCATTCACATCAAATTAAACATGATACTCGGGAAGTTTCTATGAAAGACGACGTCCTACCCTAACGAATAAAACAGCATTACACTAATGATAAGTTATCACTGATCGTAGAGATGAAAGGAGTACCAGTTCGAGTGATCCTTCTTTCTCTATCCTACTCAATACAAAACAATAATACCACAATCCTCGAAAAAAAAAACATGCGTGAAAGGCAAGGCTTTGTAACTTCATTTACAACGTAACCACAATACCTTAGCAACAAATCGAGCTATCCACGGCCACCACCGGCCGTTCTTTTCTTCCAGTTTTGTTTTCGACGCATTTTTCGTTTCTGTTCCGCTGAGACCTTGCCTTTTTGAGTAGACTTTCTTCTTCATTTGATCCTACGGATCCTGCTCCTTCTTCGTTTCCACCAGCAGGAGTTGATCTGCAAAAACTCGCTTAACTCAGGAAAGACAGTCAAATTAGTGAAGTATTCATGCTTTGAGGAATCCACACAGAGATTCAATAGATTTTGCATGTCGCGATGAAAACTGAATGGGAATATAAAGCATTGAAAAACCATTCGCGTCATCGGGCATGACTCGTAGTGCAGTGGCTTTTGCTTCATTCAGAGTTGACCCTTATAGACGTGGAGCGAAACGGAGGGTGGATTCCGGGCAGACCGTCAATGAAGGACGTAATGGGCGCTGACAGAGCGCCTTGCTGAAGGCAGCTGATCAGAAGCCTAAGGGTCGTTGGGTTTTGATCTTGACGTCGGACAGTGACTGGTGGAAGCGTATCACAGGAAACTCTATCCACACCCCCCCCCGCCCCAGCTGAAGCAATTAGTTCACCAACGATGCTCAACCTCATCAAACCGCACGACTTCAGCCTGAGCGGACTAACTGCCTTATAGACCGTTTGCCGTCGGATGCCTGACGCTTAAGCTGGGCCAGTGTTCCGATTCGCGCGAATTGCGCGATGGACCGCGAACACCGACACCAGCCTTACTTGCATCTCACCTGACACAACCGAATTACAAAAAATGAAGTGTGGACCTCTATTTTTGGTGTTTTCTGAGAAACTCTTCTCCCTTTTTCTTCACTACCAGTCTAATTCGCACAACTGCTTCGATTTTTGTGCAAGAATAACATGTGTTCAATTATGAGGGGGTCTAGGGGAAGCCGCAATTGCGACTTCAGCGATGAACATGAAATGAGACTGGAAACTCTAACAAACTTCAATATATGCCACTGTCCTTCCGAAACATAAGTCACCCACGCAAGCAAACTAAAAAAAGAGCCACTCGATTCCCAGATGCCTTCGAAATCCAGCGCTATAGATTCATAACCTTTTTACGTGGTTATTAGATAGAGCGCTCCCACGAATTGACGTTTGAATGAAATCGAACTAGTAAACGTAGTTCCTTGCCAGATATATGAGTCTCATGAATCAGTCATATTAATTCTTAGACTGTTCAACCACGCAATATTGAAATGAGTTTTTAAATGGCGAGCATTCTCACGAATAGCGCTTTCCTACTGCGTGGGAGGGTGAGAGTACGTGGGGGTTGCGAATGGACACAAATAATTAATTCCAGGAACACCTATGTATGTCAACAAAAAACAGATGCCGTCAAAATGTTACTGAATACTCATCCATTAATCCGAAGGAATATTGATACTCTATTAAGAGCTAAAACCCACTGTATAATTCTATCAAAAACTCCAGTTTCATATGAAAAATTGCTTAATTTCCTTTCAATGAAATGCAAAGACACAGCCTGGAATCGACGTCACCTTCGAAGAGTCACGAAAAAATTTTGTGTAGACTAAGGTCAGAAAATTCGTCACTCATAAGACAAAAAGGTAAAGCAAGACCGCATTAGCAAATATTTTTTGGAGTACGCCACGCATTCCGGCTGTGTTCAGAATCCTAGTGGCAAATTGAGTGCGATTGGTCTATAAAATGACGTGCGTGGACCAGTCAGTTCAGGCAGAAGAACTTTCTGTTCCCTTAAGCAAATCTGGTCCGTATTCCTCAAGAGAATAAAGGATAAAGGGTTCGCCGTTCCTTTTTTGGGAAGCGGTAAGTTCTGCTTCATTTTTTGTTAGTGGCGTTTGAATGCGATGTGGCCTATACAATGACTTGCGGGGGCCAGCCGATGTACAAGTCAGTGTTTTTATCCTCCCAGACAAGTCTGGTACCAATTAACCGACCCCGGAGGGATGGGGGCCCGGGCGACTCACGACCCAGGATTTGATCCCGGACCGCTCGCGTGGTTAGCTGCACCTTTTGCTACTACACCACTTCGCCCCGCATCCCTTAATGAGGGGTAAGCTTATTAGTTTGTTGCGTAACTATGTCCACATGCACACTGAACACCCGAAGATCCCTGCAGGCCAAGACAGAGCGTCAAATAAGAGGACATAGAAACTAGAACCTTAACATGATTTACCATTCAGCCCATTTCTTCATCGGACTTATGACTCCGGCTATTCCACCTCCGCTGCACCCCTTCGTAACGCCTAAGAATACTGTGCCTTCGCCTATAGCATTAACCACATCGATGAAATTCTGTGCCAGTTCTATAAAAAAAATGCATCAAAAAGTCCCTCTCACCGTCAGTTGTTCTGACCACAGCTTCCCAGCCATTTAATCTCATGGTCCCCTCAATCCACCATCAAAATTAATACCGTATCTCAACACTGGTTTCAGCTGTTTGCAGAAATTAGTTCCAAAAATAGATGACTAACCTTTTGAATGCCCTTTTCACGATTCGGCCTTGCTCAGCTGAAAACGCCAGAGCCATGCCCTTTTTCGGCCTGGAAACCATTTACCATTAAAATCTCCGAAATCGAGCCTTAATTGCTCAGCCTCAAAAGCGCTTACCCAGCTGCTGCCTTCTTCTGAGGCATTTCCTCAGGTTGGAACGGATCCAGTACCTCTTTCCGTTCACGCTTTTCCGGAGTTGGTAATAACAGGCTCTCAACGTTCTGAAAACTTCTTAGTTTCGGTAATAACTACCACACAAAAAATTGAACAAAAAAATCTTCACCTTCAATAAGACTTCTTTATGCACAAGCGGCTTTCTTGGAGACCCCATGGACGCTCCTTTCTGTAGTGGCATTTTCATCGGGCTGATTTCTCCCCAAGCAGATGGCTGCCCTAAATATTTTCGCTTCTTTCAGTAGCTCACACAAACCGAAATATCCATATCACGTCATCTCCTTTATGATGAACGCGTTATTTCCATCATCACCGATGCCGTCAGATTCAACCCAACAAAATCCAGCAGAAAACCGTAAGCGACACAACATTACATAAATAGGACAGGTAAAATAAAATGTCATTATGTTCGCATTTACCAGGTGATTAATTATACAGCTACTAGTCAACTGTCAAAAGCAGAACAGCAATATTATCCAAAACTCTTCTTGTCTAATATGATACGTTGAAGGACCACCACGAACGCGATCCGAGGATCAAAACCCGCCCCTACACTCGACCAGAGCTATCCTTCCCTTCTTCTCTCTGGAGCGATCAGCGATCCCGAAGGAGAGGGAGAACGCCGACTTTTCCATCGGCTGCTCTCCGATGGCTATTTTGTATAGGCCAAAAACATTTAAATACTACCTCGATCTAGCTGACATAGCGTATCTCAGAAAAAGGACTGATTAATGTCAAATGTTCCGAACATTTTCAAGGTAAGTTGAAATTGGAAAATGCGTTCAAAGATGAAGCATAAATCACTAGGCATTTTTTGCAATCCCTTTTCAGGAAGCGTCACGCCATTTACTTTCACTCGAGATCGTAGTAGCATTTAAACGCGATTTGGTTTGTACGATAATTTATAGGAGTCAGCCGATGTAGAAATGAGCTATTTCAGCCTCTCAGACAAGTCTCGTTCTAATTAAGCATCCTTATTGGGATGGAAAACTTGTAAAGCCTAGGTCAAATGCAGTCCTAAATGTAGCCCACCACTGCGCGCGACGCAGGCACTGGCTGACCCTACAGCCCTCTGCCCATGGAAAGTGGGCTGGATTATTTAAATACTGATAGATCCTGTATCTTTCAAACATAGCTGTCCCACGATACCAAAGTTTATCAGGAGACTCTCTTTCAAGCGAAATACGCTTGAAAAAAGGCTCCGTCTCTATTTCTCTTTAACAAACTCTGATACTTCGATAAAACTAGAACACATGAAGACTATTCTACTCCTATCTCCTTCTAAATCACCTCAACATTGATAGCTGCACCTGCTGAAACCAAACTCAGAATGTAAGCATACACACCTTTCTCAGGAGTATCAAACAAGGACGAGAACGCAGGATTCGCCTGAAAAAGTGGTGTTGCAATCATGGCGATTCATTGAGTAAAAAAGTAAATATAAACGATTATCAGAAAACCTTACTAATAACCGCTTCACTGGCGACTTCTGTAGCGGCGATGATGGTGGAATATTACTTGACGTGGACTGAATATCTTTAAGCGGTGTAGAACCAGCAGCGCCTTTACGCCTGCGCCACGTTGATGCATCGACAGATTTCACCTAAAATCAAGTATCCCTCTCGAACCCTTTCTGTAGTACACAAGTATCGTTCATGGATTGCGATTAGAGTAAGGGAAAAGAAATCCAAGGCACTAGTAAACCTGGCACTCTGAACAGCGCTCCCTCAACTCTTTCTCTCCCAGTAGTAATAAAGTGATACATTGTTGTGGTACACACAGGAAGGGGCATAAATATGGCGACAATTGAGCTTTAAGAAGAGCAATTGCGCGGAGCTCCGTAGTCCTTTGCTTACACCCACGGTAAGTAAACAAATAAACGAATGATTCTGTGGTTCACCTTCATGCAAAACAAGAAGGTCTGGTCGAGGAAAGTTAACAAATTTGTGAGCCACCAATAAGTTATTAATCACTGTTCATTTGAATATTTTTGAATGTTGCTGAAATTGATATCCCGTCTCCACTTTTCTGCTTGAAACTGGACAGCAGTTATTTTGTCAGCACATTGTGCCCCAGCCCCTATACGCTCCACAGGAATCGAAGGCTTAACTTACCATAT